CTGGAACTGGCAGCACCCAAATGGGATCTTGGCATGTTCAAGGCAAGGACTTTAGCTGCTAGGCCAACGTGCTGGGCGTCAGGCCCTAGGTTTTAATGTTTTTAAAGTCACGTTTTTCCTGCATCAACCAATCTTCCAGTTAAATTAGGCTGCAGTTTAAATAGATAGAACACAACTGTGAGTCTTAAAATACATTTTTATCATAACCCTTAATGATGAGATCAGGAATAATCCTAGTTTAAAATATTCTTAGCGGATTCTCAGATATAATTTTTGGAGAGATCCACTATAATTAATATTTTTATTTTGCTGACATCTGTGTCTTTCTGCGTATTTATGGGACCTGATACCTTGCTCATTTAGCAGTCTTGCCTGTGCAGGAGTGCAGAATAGTGTTCAAAGTCCTTCCTTTGAACACACCAGGATCCTATATGGGCACTGGTTCTAATCCCGGCAGCTCCACTTCCCCTCCAGCTCCCTGCTTGTGGCCTGCATTGGAGGACTGCCCAAAGCTTTGCTACCCTGCACCCATGTGGGAGACCTGGAAGAGGCTCCTGGCTCCTGGCTTCAGATCAGCTCAGCTCCAGCCACTGAGGCCATTTGGGGAGTGAATCATCGGATGGAAGATCTTTCTCTCTTCCTCTCTGTATATCAGCCTTTCCAATAAAAATAAATAAATCTTTGGGGGGGGAGAAGATTTGTTACATTGGAAAGGCAAATTTACAGGGAGAGGGAGGCAGAGAGAAAGATCTTCCATCCATTGGAAGATCTAATTTTAAAGGAGTAGAAATTTGTGAATGCCTAAATCCTCAATAAAGGGGCTTGGCTGAGGCATAACGCATGATTGGCCTTTATGTGTGCCTTCAGCAGTGACTCACGCTGCAGCGACGTGGAGATGGTTTCTCTTTAATAAAGTAAGACATAGGTTGCTTGCTGATCCTATCTGTTTTTAGAAGCATGAATGAGAAAAACGGCTAAAAGGAATAGTTGTGAGTTTATGGGTAGCTTTTTATCTTTGTCTTTTTTTTTCTTAAGATTTACTTTTTAAAATTTTTGTTTGAGAGGAAGACTTACAAAGAGAGGAGGGACAGAGAAAGAAATCCTCCAGGTGCTGGTTTACGTGCCAAATGGCTGCCATGGCTGGAGCTGGGCTGCCTGAGGTTGGGAACCACGAGCCTCTTCAAGGCCCTCCCACATGGGTACAGGAGCCCAAGAACTGACAAGGCTATCTCCCACTGCCTTCCCAGGCATAACCAGCAAGTAGCTGGATTTTTTTAAGACTATTTTTTTTTTATTTTTGTTGCAAAAGTCAGATGAACAGAGAGGAGGAGAGACAGGTGGTTCTGTCCAATAATTCACTCCCCAAGCAGCCGCAATGGCCAGAGCTGAGCCAATCCGAAGCCAGGAGCTTCTTCCGCGTCTCCCACACAGGTGCAGGGTCCCAAGGCCCTGGGCCGTCCTCAACTGCTTTCCCAGGCTACAAGCAGGGAGCTGGATGGGAAGTTGAGCAGCTGGGATTAGAACCGGTGCCCATATGGGATCCCGGTGCAAGCAATGCAAGGACTTTAGTCACTAGGCTACCGTGCCAGGCCCAAGGAAATGTGTAACTTTTAAACAAAATGTTATGTTGGCTCTTGCAAATATTATTTTATGATATGTGTTTGTTAAATAAGCTAGTGGCTTTTACTTATTTTTACCTTTAGTGTGATCATTAGCACTATTTGATAGGTCAGCTCTCAAAGTAATCTTCTCAAAATATTATTTTTTAAACAGATTTATTTATTTATGTTTAAAAGACAGGTTTTACAGAGAGGAGGAGAGAGGTAGGTCTTCTATTCACTTATTTCACCCTCCGAATGAATTGAGCCAGTCTGACAATCTGAAGCCAGGAACCAGAAGCAGCTTCTGGGTCTCCCCGATGGGAAAGCTTGATGCTTTCTCAGGTCTTAAGCCAGGAACTGGACCAGAAGTGGAGCAGCTTGGACATGAACCAGTGCCTATATGTGGAATCTGAGACTAGGGTCAAGGGTTAGCTGGCTGGGCTACCATGCTGGACCCAAATGTTTTTCATTTTTAATGAAAAAAAATTGTATAGCTGGGGAGTTCATGGTGTGAATTGGGTGCTACTTGAATTGGACATTAAATAGTCCCTGAGAATCCATTGTCTACGGAAACGGCTCTTGGAAAAGGTGCCGCTGCTGGCTCCTGGCTAGCCGACTCGTACGGTTCAGCCGTGTCTTTGTCTCGTTCTTAGGGAGGTCCATGGGAGCGACAGTGGCTGAGACAGCTCTGGTTCATGTTTTCACCCTAAAATCCTGTGCCCTTGGTGTGTCATCTTGTCACTTAGGCTAAGTCTGCATGTTGTCCTATCTTTTGCCCAGTTCTCCCTCCCTCCCCGCCCCGCCCCCCGCGGGACTTGTGCTGTGTTTTTGGGTGTACTAGCACTTTGCTTTGGGGGGTGGTGTGTATTCATCTATTAAGCAAACTACTCTTCTTCAATTCTGGTTTTTCATTTTCCTCTAATTCCGTTGACAATTTTAAGTTAAACATTTTCTTGACATTACATATAATACAGCTGTTTTCGTTAACAATTCTGTAGTTTCAAAAACGTGGAAGCTGTAACATGTTCACTTTCTGTTGGTAGGGAGGGGTTAGTCCTGAGCATCGCGCTGGATACAGCTGTTAGAGTCGCTACCTGTCACTTCATGCAAAATGGTTTCATTTTTCCAAATTGTTCTCACTGTCTCATCTTTTCAAAGATGTGGGGAAAAAAACTTTAAAATAATTTTTGAGTGGGCTTTTTACATAAGAATAAGTTCCTCTAAAAATGTTAAAGTTTAACAAAGTTTAAATTGGAACTTCTGTGAAGAGCAAAGCAGTTGTTTGAGCTGCCAAGGTTTCCGCGGGCAGTACTGCTGCAGTGCTGATCCAGAGTCCTGCAAAGCCAGCGAGTGCCTACATGGTGTTCCTGTAAGATTCCAACCACACTCCCTTGGACACTGAAAAGGGATTGTGGAAAACATGGTGTTCACCTCTGTGCTGGTCTCTCTCTCTCTTTTTTTTTTTTTTAAGATTTATTTATTTTGGGTCCATAACCTAGCAGCTGAAGTCCTAGCCTTGTGTGCACCAGCATCCCATCTGGGTGTCCATTCTAATCCCAGCAGCTCCACTTCCCATCCAGCTCCCTGCTTGTGACCTGGGAAAACAGTTGAGGATGGCCCAAAGCCTTGGGACCCTGTACCCATGTGGGAGATCAGGAAGAGACTCCTGGCTTCAGATCAGCTCAGCTCTGGCCGTTGCGGCCGCCTGGGGAGTGAATCAACAGACGGATGATCTTCCTCTCTGTCTCTCCTCTCTGTATATCTGACATTCTAATAAAAACTAATATAAATCTTACAAACATTTTTACTTTTATTGGAAGGGAAGATCAGATTTATGGAGAGAAGGAGAGACAGAGACAGACCTTCCGTCCACTAGTTCATTCCCCAGCTGGCTGCAGTGGCCAGAGCTGGGTGGATCCAAAGCCAGGAGCTTCCTCAGGATCTCCCCTTTGTGTGCAATGATTATATTTTTAAATATGTTGATGTGTATTTAATGGCCAGATGTGTATACTTGTGTATTATGTATTGAGATCTACCTACGTGCAAATACAGGAATATTTTACCACTGGGCATATTTTTAAAAAGCAGATTTTTTAAAAAAAGATTTATTTATTTTTATTGGAAAGGCAGATGTACAGAGAGGAGGAGAGACAGAGAGGAAGATGTTCTGTCCAATGGTTCACTCCCCAAGTGAGCACAACGGCTGGAGCTGAGCCAATTCAAAGCTAGGAGCCCGGAGCTTCTTCCTGGTCTCCCACCTGGGTACAGGGTCCCAAGGCTTTGGGCCATCCTCAACTGCTTTCCCAGGCCACAAGCAGCAAGGTGGAGGGGAAGTGGAGCTGCCGGGATTAGAACTGACGAACATATGGGATCCTGGTGTGTGCAAGGTGAGGACTTCAACCACTACGCTATTGCACCGGACCCAAAAGCAGATTATTTTTGTAGCTTGGGAAATACTGTCAAGCATATCGTGAATGATTACTCTGGGAGCTTGGTTCACTTTCTTGAGAATAAGTGATGGACTTTAGATGGACTTTGTGGAGAGGTGTCCTAAGGGCTTTCTCCCCTTCCCTCTACTTCCCCTCGTGACAAGTGCCATACTCCCACCGAAGGGCAAACTTTGTTTCATGGGAATTCAAGAATCTCTAATGGTGTTGACTGAACTGAAGAATCAGCCCAGCTCAGGGCCGTGTGGACAGCTGGCCACGCTGCCTTGATGTGAAGCCAAACGTTTGTATGAGTAGCTCTGTGGTAGACGTTAAAATGTCATTTACATGTTGAAGCCTCAAGGTGATTATACTCTCAGGGGAAGGATGAGAATTTAGCTTTGGAAATTGAGGGGAAATGTTGGAAATCAGCTTCTGCCGTGGAAGTGGTTATATGGGTTAGAATATTGGATTTTTATGTGGTCCTCTTAAATCTGTCATGATATAGTGCCAAAGAAACCACTGCTAACACTTTTTGAATGGAGTTATGTTTAGCCACCTGATTGGAGAACAGTTGCCCAAAACAACATTGTTAGCCCGTTCGGTGCCGTGGGTGGCATCCCTCGTGGCTAGGGGCTGTGCCTGAAACATGGGTGCAGTGCCAGCGAAGAGGAAGGTGATGGCGTTGTGTTTGGGTAGGAAGGGGAGAGGGCATCTGTCAGCTTATGTCATTTGTTTGCGTCTGCTCGGGTAAGTGCACATTGCCGGAAGTCTAGATGCAGGCTGCGTTTATCACACGGTACAGGCGCTCCGCGGCTTTGGCAGTTTCGCAGAACATTTGTGTTGCAACTTTGATTTCATTTCTAATCTTTTTCCGACACTATTAAAAGGCATTAAGATTAAAATGAGGCTACTTTTAAAGCTGTCTGTTTTCACTCAACTAAACGATCACATGTTTTTCTCTTCCCCTTAGATCTAGCTTTGGAATCCAACCCTTCTGACCATCCAAGGGCAAGCACAATTTTCCTGAGCAAATCTCAAACAGACGGTAAGACAGACAGCACCCTCCCTGCAAGGAAAAGAAAGCATTTAGAAGAATTTATTTTTGTTTAAATTTTTCAAGTTTTTGTGTATTCACTTATTAATATTTACTTTCATTTACTCTTTCTTTTAGTTGTCATTTAAATGAGAATATTGAAACTTTATGGCTAACACTTTTCTAAGATTTATTTATTTTTATTACAAAGTCAGATATACAGAGAGGAGGAGAGACAGAGAGGAAGATCCTCCGTCCAATGATTCACTTCCCAAGTGGCTGCATCAATCAGAGCTGAGCCAGTCTGAAGCCAGGATCTAGGAACTTCTTCCGGGTCTCCCACACGGGTGCAGGGTCCCAAAGCTTTGGGCCATCCTCGACTGCTTTCTCAGGCCTCAAGTAGGGAGCGGGATGGGAAGTGGAGCAGCTGGGATTAGAACCGGCGTCCATATGGGATCCTGGTGTGTTCAAGGCGAGAACTTTAGTCAGTAGGCCATGGCACTGTGCCAGGCCCTTTTTTTAAGTTTTGTTTTTAATTGTTATTTGAAAGGCAGAGTTATAGATAGAAGGAGAGACGGGGCGGGGAGATCATCTGTCTGCTGGTTCCCTCCCCAGATGGCAGCTACAGCTGGAACTGAGTTCATCTGAAGGCAGAGCTTCTTCTGGGTCTCCCATATGGGTGCAGTGATGTGAAGACTTAAACCATCCTCCTCTGCTTTCCCGGGTCATAGGCAGGGAGCTGAATTGGAAGTGAAGTGGCTTGGACACAAACTGGCGCCCATGTGGGATGCTGGTGCCACTGGCCGAGGCTTAGCCTACTGCCTCACCACGCCAGCCTGGGCTGCACCTTGCGGCGCCTCTCTGTCAACAGTTAACCACTGCGTGCAATGGTGCTAGTTTCTTCATACTACTTAGTTGTTTTTCTTTTGCTCCAAAAAACGTCTTAAAGATGAATGACAGGGTTTTGACATTAGTTAGGTTTCATTTAAACAAATCAGTAAAGCTACTTTTTATATATGGTGATAGAATCTGGTTTTGTTCTCATTTTACAATGTTCTATCTGGATAGGTCTGTCTGGCATCCAAGCTAATGCTATTCAGAACTTAAAAGCTATTTGAAACTTTTCCACCTTAGTGTAATAATAATTTTTAAAGAATCAGTGTGTTAAACAGCTGTGATTTTTTTTTTCTGTCCTTGTTTTAGCACAAAAATCTTCCTGCTGTTTTCCTTAATATTATGTTAATCCTGGTGTATGAGCTAGCCTTACATGTCCGAGTTGCCCACTTGGTTATAATAGCAAGAATACAAGAAGTGAAGGTACAGTAATAGTATCAGGGGCGTGTTGTTGTACAGTAAGAAAAGAAAAGGGGAAGGATTTCTTTCTTTTGTTTTCCTAAGTTATTTTATATGAAAGAGTTACAGAGAGGGAGAAACAGATCATCTGTCTACGGGTTCACTCCCTTAATGCTGCAGCAGCCAGGGCTGGGCCAGTGCGAAGCAGGGAGCCCGGCAGCTTCCTCTAGGTCTCCCACATAAAGATAGGGGCCCAAGTCCTTGGCCCGGCCCCTGCTGCCCCTCCTAGGCCGTTGGCAGGGAGCTGGATCAGCACTTAAGCCACCAGGAGTGGGTGCTGGCACTGCAGATGGAGAATCAGAATGCTGTGCCACTGCACCAGAACCCAGGGGGGAATTTCTAGTTTATATGTTGTCTTAGGCAAGTCATTTATGGTTAGGATGATTGTGTTTTTTTATTTTCTTCTGGAGCAGGGCTTCTTACGTATAGTGTGTGTGTGAACAATAAATAAAAGCTGCCCCACGCCCCTTTCCTGAATGTGTACTTGTCTTGCCTGCTCAGTGCTGGAGGGAGCAGCAGTGTGGGAAAGTAAGGGCAAGTTGAATTCCTTTTGGAACTTCTTTCTTCTAACCTTTGTTAGACTGAAATGATTTTGTGTGTGGGAGGTAACTCAGGTACGGGCCTCATTTTAAGGTTTAGTTAAGGTAAGTTACTCCACAGTTCTGGGAAACCCATCTGTTTTGTCAGTGGCATGTTTTAGTGGATGGCAGGTTCAGGATGCTTGTAGGATTCTGGTGCACCTAGAGATTGGTGCCTGGCCAGAAACCGGTTGGTAGCATTGTCAGCTGTTGGGTCCTGTGTATAGCTCTGTGTATATGAATTAGACAGTGTTACTGATAATGGTACATGTATGCAACAGGTGACTTTTATATTAGCTAAATTTCTCATCTGGCCTAATTTATTTTTGATTTTTATCTGATTTGTACCTGTTAGGCTTTTCATTTCTTGCCAGGTGATTTAAGTGATTAATTTCATTAGAAATTGTTAAAAAAAAAATGGAATTTAGGACCCAGCATGATAACGTAGTGGTTAAAGTCCTAGCCTTGAACACACCAGGATCCCATATGGACACTGGTTCTAATCCCGACGGCCCCACTTCCCATCCAGCTCCCTGCTTATGGTCTGGGAAAGCACTCAAGGATGGCCCAAAGCCTTGGGACCTTGTACCCGCGTGGGAGACCCGGAAGAGGTCTTGGCTTCAGATTGGCTCAGCTCCGGCCGTTGCAGCCACTTGGGGAGTAAACCATCAGACGGAAGATCTTCCTCTCTGTCTCTCCTCCTCTCTGTACATCTGCCTTTCCAGTAAAAATAAATAAATCTTAAAGGAAAAAAAAATGGAATTTTATCTCATTTGTGTATTGGTAATTCATCAAATAATTAGCAATGACTTTATTTTTCTATGACATTTGCATCAAATTGATCAATTTTTTTTTATTCTCAGTGCGAGAAAAGAGGAAGAGCAACCATTTAAACCATGTAAGTATAAACAGAAAAAAAGTTAACAAATGAATAATTTGCATTGAAAATACATCTGTCATGATATCTGAAATATGTAATGGGAATGCTTTTCCTAGATTTCCTTAACCCGTATTTTTCCTGAGTACCAAATTTATTCAGGGAAGTCTTTGGCTTAGTGTAGTACCCCGCCTTTTTCTTAAGTTTCTGATGTTTATGATTCTGTGATGTTAGTATAGTCATCTGCCTTAAATTTTGTAGTCTTACTTTTTTGATCAGAGTAACACAGTTTATAATATCCGTCCTAGCCACCCGCTGTCCATTGCACTGAGTGACAGCTCCCTCACTGTCCCCTCTTATGTCTTCCTTAATTTCCCCTAATTTCCTTTGCTGACATTACATGCATTTTATTGGGTTCTAATCGATATTTACATTATGTGACTGTAAATGTTGTTCACTGCTGAGCCAGACACCTCCTCTGAGTACACCCAGCATTCTTTCTCTTAAAAGGTCTCTGAGATGTGGGCATTTCTCCTGACCGGTGCGCTTTAGCTCATGGCCAGGTGCGGTCCAGGGGCTCACTCTGCTCTTCTGCTTTTGCATTCTTTGTGTTTGTGTGGAGTTGGTTTTCTGTCTGTTCACTTGTCTGTTTGCTGACCATTATTTCCCCCCCTCTGAATGGTGTAATGCTTGTCACATGCCCATCAGAAATATTTTCCATCTACTAAAGCACATCTGCTCATTTCCCGCTTGGAGACAGATGTCCTCAGCCTTTGATCGTCCTGCTCCAACGCGGGGAGCTGCTTTTGCCAAGGTCTGCCCTCTGCTTTCCTGGGATATCTCTTGAAGTCATCTAGGATCTCACATAACCACTCTTGTATCGGATGCTTTGTGTCCTAGATTTTGTTTTCTTCTGTCTTGCGCTTACGTTTTATTGGAATACGTTACACTGGAGTTCATCTTTCTGGAAAGGCATATGGGCATTAAAAAAAAAAAAAAGATGCATTTCTTTTTATTGGAAAGGCAGATACACAGAGAAGGAGAAACAAGGATCTTCCATCTGCTGGTTCACTCTCTAAGTAGTCACAATGGTCGGAGCTGTACTGATCCGAAGCCAGGAGCCAGTAGTTTCTTCTGGGTCTCCCATGGGGGTGCAGGGTCCCAAGGCTTTGAGCTGTCCTCCACTGCCACAAACAGGGAGCTGGATGGGAGATGTAGCAGCCTGGACGCAAGGGCACCCACATGGGATTCCAGCGCGTGCAAAGCAAGGATTTTGCCACTAAGCTACCATGCCGGGCCCTGCATGGGCCTTTTTAAAGAGATCTCCACTGACTGAAAAGTTCTCCTTGATAGGAATGTATTCGAATTCTAGGTTAAAACTTCTTTGCGTAGTTCTTGAAAGCATTTTTATGCTTCCTTCTCCTGTATAGTGTTGCTCTTAAATCTGTTGGTATTGTATAATATATGTACCCAAAATTGAGTCTTTTTTTTCCCTTCACTTCTCTTTGTTCTAGGGTTCTGAAATTTTACATGTTTTCATGCGGGAATGTTCATGTGACCCTTGCGAGTAATGTGCAAACTAGACGTTCCTTCTGCAGTTTCTTTTTTGGTATTTTCTCTCTTTGAGCTTTTTCCTTGTATAGTAATTCGGGTGTCGGGCCTCTTAGAGCAGCGCATTAGTTAACAGAGCGGCAGGTAGATTTTCTGTTTGCAGATTTGCTCCCCACCCACTTGTAATATCTGGGACTAGGCCAGGCCAGAGCCCAGGTCCCCCATGCTGGCAGGAACTCGGGTACTTGGGCTGTCACCTGCTGCTTCCTTGTGAGCACATGACCAGGAAGCGGAAATGCAGTGAGAGTGGGGCTAACAGCCAGGCCCTCCATTATGGGACGCACACATGCTCAGCAACTGTTCTCATGTAGATCTCTTAGAAGTTTCTGTCAGGGGTTTCTGGTTTTTTCTACATGGACGCACCAGTGAGTGAGCAGGACTTGTCAGCTGTAGGCTGTCACCGTGAGAACTTGGAAGCGTCAGGGTTTCTTCGGGGGAGGGGGGTGTCTTGTCTCTGGAACAGTTTTGCTTCCTAAAGACTACTGGAATGGAACCTTATACTATAGCGTAATGGTTAGGGTCCTCACCTTGAACGTACCGGGATCCCATATGGGCGCCGGTTCTAATCCCGGCAGTTCCACTTCCCATCCAGCTCCCTGCTTGTGGCCTGGGAAAGCACTGGAGGACGGCCCAAAGCTTTGGGTGCCTGCACCTGTGTAGGAGACCTGGAGGAAGTTCCTGGCTCCTGGCTTCAGGTCAGCGCAGCACCAGCCATTGCGGCCACTTGAGGGGTGAATCATTGAACAGATCTTCCTCTCTGACTCTCCTCTCTGTACATCTATCTGCCTTTCCAATAAAATAAATCTTTAAAAAGGAAAAAAAAAAGAAAGGAAGGAAGGAAGACTTCTCACCCATGATTTCCTTAGGACTGAATACTGACACTGCTGGGCTTGATGTCTCTGGTGAGATACGCTATCTAGATTCCTTAAATATGGAGACTAGCTGGACTTGAAGCTCTAACCACAGAACTTCAGTCAACTCTTGGCCTGGGTTTTGTATTCTACCCCTCTTTTCCAGAGAGTTGGCGTGCTATAAACTGTGAGTGGGTTTGTGCGATCAGCTGACTTGCCTATTCCTGGCAGTCACTGTCCGTAGGAGCCGAAGTTGTGATTGTTGTGCATTGTCATGTCAGTTACCACGTCGACTTTTCTTGTGGTTCAGAGATTGAAAAGCACCTGCTGTCTGTTCCGCCTCCCAGCCCTGCATGTAACCATTGCTTCAGATGCTGTGAATTCTAGAGATTTTAGGAGGAAAGGGAGTTAGACTTGGCAATCTGCCAGATTTTATTTCACCTTACTTTTAAAATCTAAGTTTAAATTCGGCAATTAAAGATATTAGTGTAGGCTTTGTTTATTTAGTATTAAGGACTCTTTATTAACCATGCTTGGTGATAACAGAGCCCACTAGAAATAGCAAGTCACAAGTCCATGTGAGTGTCCAGTCTGAATGGAAACCCAAGTGGAGCATATGGTCGTTACCGTGAAGTCCACCTGTTAAGTTGAACACCTATGTCCCAGCTTCCCCAGCAATAGAAGCTATCCTAATAGACATGCAGTAAATAACCTGGACACACTTACAAAGCTGCAGACATTCACCTTTCCCTGGCTTCTCTGCCCACATTCCATCAGTGCTAGGCCTCACCTCTCCTGGAACTCACACATTAGAAATACAAAGCATCTTAGCATTGCTATCTTCATTGTCCCGCCCAAGCAGTGAACAGTGTGTGAGGAATACAGACACAGGGGCCATGCTCAGTGGATACCTGACCTTGGAGTCTGTCCACAGGAAGCCAGAGAACTAGCAGGTACTGAGGGAGGCCAAGAGTTGGAGTGCCAGAGCTGTAGAAGCATGTGAACAAGAGGGCATTTTTGTTTTTATTAATAATTGTTACACTTGTCTGCTAACAATTTAAGATTTTTTTTCAAATCACTTGCCCTGTTACATTGTGCCATATACTGACATTATCCCATTTCTGTGCAATATAGATGAAATAGTATCATTAATGCCTAAAGTGTTAGAAAATTTAATGCAAAATCATCAGCTTTTTTTTTAAAGATTTATTTATTTTTATTGGCAAGGCGGATATACAGAAAGGAGGAGAGACAGAGAGGAAGATCTTCCATCTGATGATTCACTCCCCAAGTGACTGCAATGGCCAGTGCTGCGCCGATCCGAAGCTGGGTACCAGGAACTTCTTTCCAGGTCTCCCACGCGGGTGTAGGGTCCCACAGCTTTGGGCTGTCCTCAACTGCTTTGCCAGGCCATAATCAGGGAGCTGTATGGGAAGTGGAGCTGCCGGGATTAGAACCGGCGCCCATATGGGATCCCGGGTGCATTCAAGGCGAGGACTTTAGCCACTAGACCATGCCGCCGGGCCAAAACTCATCAGTTCTAAAAGTCTACCCAGTGCCCCTTTGCTTTCTTTTTTTTTTAAGTTTTTTTTTTTTTTTTTTTTTTTTTTTAGATTTTTATTGGAAAGTCAGATATACAGGGCCCAGCACAGTGGCGCAAGTGGTTAAGTTCCTCGCCTTGCACGCCCGGCATCCCATATGGGCGCCAGTTCTAATCCCGGCAGCCCCGCTTCCCTTCCAGCTCCCTGTCTGTGGCCCGCGAAAGCAGTCGAGGACGGCCCAAAGCTTTGGGACCCTGCACCCGCGTGGGAGACCCGGAAGAGACTCCTGGCTTCGGATCGGCATAGTATCGGCTGTTGCACTCACTTGGGGAGTGAATCATCGGACGGAAGATCTTCCTCTCTGTCTCTCCTCTCTGTATATCTGCCTTTCCAATAAAAAAAGAATAAAAATAAATCTTTAAAAAAAAAAGAAAAGGAAAGTCAGATATATAGAGAGGAGGAGAAGGAGAGACAGATTAGAAGATCATCTGGTGATTCACTCCCCAAGCGGCCACAACAGCTGGAGCTTTGCTGATCTGAAGCCAGGAGCCAGGAGCCTCTTCTGGATCTCCCTCGCAAGTGCATGGTCGCAAGGCTTTGGGCTGTCCTCACTGCTTTCCCAGGCCATAAGCAGAGAGCTGGATGGGAAGTGAGGCCGCCGTGACTAAAACTGGCACTCATATGGGATCCCGATGCATGCAAGGATGAGAGGACTTCAGCTGCAAGGCTACCGTGCTGGGCCCCCCTTGCTTTCTTGATTGCCAAGTTCTGTACTCATTTGTGCTGTCTGAATGAAGATAAGTGGTTTTTCTATCCCTGTCTGGTTTAGTAACCACTGGTCAGTAGTGTCTGGCAGTGTGAATTTGTTTTTCTTTAGTATTTGCGTTTTGTGTCCGTGAGAGTGTCAGCACTGTTACTGAGGCTGGAGCCAGCGGTAGTGAGGCTTTAACACTGGTCATGCCTTCATGCAGGGTGAGGGAGCAATCAGTTACCTGTCTCCTCAGAAGCCTCATTTATG